ATTGGCTACTCATTGAATACCCAGTATTGCTTTACCGAAAACAGATGTTGGGTGGTGGTGTCATTTGTTTGTTCGTTACCAGAAGCCCTAACAGAATGGGTTTTCATCTTCCCCTCCAGGACACTAAGATGGTCTTGACTGAGAGGCACATATGGCTTGAGCAGTGGCTGCCTTTGCGTTTGTTGGTCCTTACCTCTTGTGTATGACTGATGTACATCAGTTGCTCATGCCTGATATGTGCCCAAGCTGGAGTTTGTGAATTCAGTAGTGAAGAGGCGCATGATGCAAAAGAGGGAAGAAATGGGAAAGGGGATTTTTATTTACCAAGACACAAACTATTTATATTATATTATATTATATTATATTATATTATATTATATTATATTATATTATATTATCTATTGACATCTAAATATTTAATCTAAAAAATTTAAATTAAAACATTTTCAATTATTGACATTTAAAATTTTTTAAAAATGAAGATACTATGGTTACTGCCTCCAACTACCTTTCTTCCAGGTAAAATTATATTGAGAAAGTAAATAGACTGGCAAGAGAGGAGGGCAGAAAACTCCAGTGGCTCCTGTGTAGAGTCCCTCTCAGCGGTTCTACTGGAAAGGCTGGGACAGGACAGGAGACGGCTCCTGCTGGGGTTGGGGGAGGAGCTCTTAGAGATAGCAGAAGGGGGAAAAGATTCAGTCTGAGCTCTCTAAGTGTATCCCAACTGTGAGACTGTCACATACAAACAATGGTGGCGCCTCTGTTTGCTGGCACCATGGTGGGTGGGTTGTCCACACAGCTGCCTTGTGGTTGGATCTGCGGCACATGGCTGGGCACCATCAGCCAAATTCTCTCCAAATGATGAGGGTAGAAGTGTCTTAATAGATCTGTCCAGGGACCCTGATGTAAATGCCCCAACAAGGACGAGCAAGGAGTAAATTGTACTTGTCTTGTGACCTCAGTTAGATTTAAACATGGAGGCTGCTTGATATAGTGGTAAAAATCTTGACTTTGAGTCACCCAAGCCTAGGCTCAAACACCATCCTGCCACTTACTTGGGTAAGTGTAGATCTGAGTCATTAGTTTATCCTCCCTGAATCGCTCTGTCCTGAGGACCGAATGCATTAACTGATGTAGAATGCTTGGCCCACAGTAGGTGGTCATTTCACCTCAGTCTCTCAGGGCAGGAATCATCAGAGCAATCTGTACCCTCTGGTTTCCCCCCAGAATCTGAAATGTGCTGGGCACATAATGAATTTTTAGTAATAACCTGATAAGTGAATTACAAACTGGGCTTCTGTATACAGGCTATTCCTAAAGCTAAATATTTGTAAAAATCTGATAGACACTCACAAAATGAAAGTGCTGGGGACAAGGAAAGGATCAATGTTGTCAACATCCTGGACAAAGTTAGACAGGGGCTCGCACTGAGTTGGATTTTGCCAAGAAAATGTGTTCTCCTCTAAGCCAAAGTTCAGGACGTTGGATGGAAAATCAGCCCCTCAGTGAGAGAGCTGACAGGCTTTCTGGATAGAAGTAGAGCAGGCTGGGCCTGAGCCATCCGCTGGGGCCATGGCACTGTCAAGTCCTTTGGATCCCAACTTCATCATGACATGAATCACCAATTGGTGCTTGGACAGGCAACTGAAAATGTTATGATGCAATGGAGAAGGTTGGGGACAGCACCAGGCCAAGCCTGACATACATTGCAAATTTTGGTCTCTTTCGTAGCAGAAAATCCGATTATCTCCCCAGCTTCCTCTTGCTCTTAGCAATCCCTTAACTGCTGGGGAAACCTGTGGGGGAGCTGGGTGGGTGGATTTCAATAAACACCCACTCTTCCATACGCAGGAACACTGTGTGGCCACAGAAGGTAGTATGATAGATCTATATATGCTCGTAGAGCCATCTGCTTAGTTGAGTGAAAAAAGCAAGTTGTGTGAAATAGCATGATCTTCTTTTAAAAATGAATTGCATTCATACATATCTACATACATATCTATTTGGATGTATACAGTAAGTCCCCGACTTATGAACATTCAAGTTGTGAACTTTCACAGATGTGAATGGACTTCGCATTACGAACATTCGTAGATGCAAACAAATCGTGGAAGTAGCGCACGTGTCTCCTGGACATGGTCACAGTTGTGCTGCTGTGTGCTTACTGTACAGTGCGATAGTGTACAGTAGTACAGTGCTCAATCGGAGCCCAGGATGTCCGGAAGCAAGAGGAAAAGCAGTGGTGGTGTGGAGGAGACTGCTAGGAAGCACAAAGCAATAACCATGGAAACAAAAGTGAAAATAATTGAGAGATTGGACCGAGGTGAAAAGATGGTAGACGTCGCT